CCTTTCAGGACACCCAAGGACACTATACAGCAGAAGAAAATCAGATAGCATTCTGTAAAAACAAAAACAGTGCAGGGACTAACAGACACAAAATAAAAATAAAAAGAATATAAAGTACAAAAAACAGGGTTATGAAGAATAAGCTAATCTAAAAAGGTGTGTTTTCAGATCAGTCTGGAATTGAGAAGTAGAGGTGATGTTTCGTAGGTCTGGTGGTTGAGAGTTCCAGAGGTTGGGAGCAGAGCCTTCAGCCTGCAGAACAAAGTATTCAATGAGAATATTTCATTTATTCAGATCTAGGATGTTTTATTTGAATGTTCTCTATTTTTTTGAGCAGTGTATATAATAAAGTAATTAAATGTATAATAATAATAATAATAATAATAATAATAATAATAATAATAATAATAATTATTATTATTATTATTATTATTATTATTAGTAGTAGTAGTAGTAGTAGTAGTAGTAGTAGTAGTATAAAAACATTTTCCCTACACAATGCATTGCTGCATTCAAAACACACTAGGAAGTCGGAATTTTTAAATTTCAAATTGAACTTAAACGAAAGTTGTCGACTGTGCTTCAGTTAAACCACAATTTGAGTAAAGCTAAAAAAATAAAGCTTGTAAAGTCTGACATTAATATTTTGCAATAAGCTTTTTACAGGTACGTAGATTATAAGAAACAGCATATAGCACACGAAAAAAGAAATTTATACTGTACTGTGGTTTATYTGATATTTCTGAGGCACCATGAATGCAGCATTCAAACTCGTCCGCTTTAAACCGCTTTCTGATTGGCTACTAACGTCGTGTCTCTTACACTGGAACTTGTAGTCAAACGTCGTCATCATCCTCATCGTCTGCAACGATCATGGCGTAGAGAGTGAACTACATTACCCAGAAATCACAGGAAGCTATGTAACTTTGACGTGTACTTTAAAGAAGTGGGGAAAAACCACCAGTTTCGACACGTACAGCTGTCACTAGTCATCTTATTCCCACTTCTTACCATTTTCTCCGACATTTGTGATTCCTGAGCGGCAGGGGACTTCCAGACACTTCCTGACGATGGCGGGAGAAATTTCTATGATCGGTAAGCTGAAAAACAAACATTATAGATGCTAACACAACAAGCTAGCCGGTCGGTCCTTATGAGAGTGCTTTCCGGTGTCGCAGGTTCGGTGATTCTGGCTTTGTTCCTGGCCGGTTATCTGGGCCAGCAGTACTTGCCACCCCCCAAACCCAAAGTAATCGGCCTGGACCTGGGTACGACCTTCTGCTCGGTCGGTGTCTTCCACCCGGGCAGCGGGGAAGTGGAGGTGATCGCAGACGAGGAGGGGAGGAAGAGCATCCCCAGCACCGTCACCTTCACCAGCACCGCGGTGCTGGCCGGACACGAAGCCGTGGAGCTGGGTGACAGCAACCCGCAGAGCACCGTCTACGACGCCAAGAGGTTCATTGGGAAGAAATTCGAGCCAGGTGTGCTGGAGCAGGAGAGCTCCAGGTACCCGTTTAAGGTGGGTGATGCTGGGGGTCAGGGTGGAGGGAATTGTTTCTGATGTTATTTGATGGCTTTTAAAGGGGACATATATACATTAACTTCATTAACATACTTTAACTTCTTTAGTTAATGGCTTTTTGTTGCTTGGATTCTCTAGGAGAGACAAAGGGGTYAAAGAGGGGATTGTGGAGTTGCAATCAGGAGGATTTTAGACTATAGACCTCAACTGAATGATTTAAATGTGTGTGTGTGTGTGGGGGGGGGAAGCTTTATATGTCTCCTTTTMAATTGTATTTCTTACCTGGAATTTAGTTTGATATTCTGTCTCCCTACATTAAAATAWAACTACTATAAAAATGAAAGACTAGTGGGCAAACTTTTAAAATCAGCACCAAGTAACCTAAACTAAAAATTGCACCAAAAGCTGCTTTTGTTTGTTCCACTCTCACTAAAGCGTGCCCCTTGATCCTCCTCTGCCTCCAGGTGGTAAACAACAATGGTAGTGCAGAGTTCGAGATCTTCACCAACCACACCTTCYCCGTAAGCCCGGAGTTCATCGGCTCCAGGCTGCTGCTGAAGATGAAGAAGATGGCCGAGCGACACCTGGGCGTGCTCGTCCAGAAGGCGGTCATCTCGGTGCCGGCAGAGTTCGACGAGAGACAGAGGAACTACACGGTCCGAGCCGCTAACCTCGCAGGTCCGACCGCTGGTTTGAAACGAGGGGTTAAATTCTCAGACAACGTACTCCTAAAGGGCACACTGACTCCCTGGTTCCGGTCTTGCAGGTTTGGAGATCCTGCGCGTGATCAACGAGCCCACGGCCGCAGCCATGGCCTACGGCCTGCACAAGGTGGACGTGTTCAACGTGCTGGTGGTGGACCTCGGGGGCGGGACGCTGGATGTGTCTCTGCTCAACAAGCAGGGGGGCATGTTCCTCACCAGGGCTATGGCAGGTAAACCATGTCAGACTTTTACAGTTGTACATCTGTAGTTGCAGCCATTAGGGTGCGTTCACACCGAACACGATTTCAGCATCAGGAGCCTCAGGTTTACATACAAAGTCTATGGTGGACGCGCTTCAAGCA